AGAGCAGTTTTGGGATGCTATTGAAAACATCAGCACTTATTATAAGTTATTTAACAAATAATACAGACACTATAAATTCCCTGGGCAAGAACTGTTATGATTTTATAGATCTATTTTTAAGTTGCAGTTCTCTTTCAATTGTACCAATGGAAAACTACCAGAGCTTATTTATTATAGGATGGCTGGAAGACTGCAAACCAATTGCTGGACAAATTACTTTGAGAATAAATTATGGGCTTTTTAGAAACTTTACTAGTTTATTAAATAAAAAGTGGGGCTTGCTGTTGTTTTTTTCTAGATCTCAAAAAGGTTCAGCACTTCAGAGCGTGTTCAAACCAGTCTGGTTCAAACAGTGCCTTAATTTTATTCCAGCAGATAGAATGGGAACCTGCCAAAAATCTCTATTAGCTCTTCAAATGGTATCTTTCTTATTTCTAAAAATGTCAATTTTAAGACATATTTGCAAAATCATTACTTTTCATTTGATCTTGAGATGCATCAACAGCTTCTAGTTTGTTATGGGACAAGGGGCGGGAAAAATCGCAAATTACAGCAAAAAAAAGAGATGGAGTAGATATTAGGTGTATTACAGGACTCTCCTGGGTTTCCTACAGGGGTTTTTTTGATGCTGATTTTCTGTACTGATGATAATGATTTTCGTTTGCATTGTTATCAGCTTGGATTTTGCATTTAGTCCACAAAAGCTTGGAAATGGTTCAGTGTTTAGGGAAAATCTTTTTTCTAGTAGGTGAGATCACAATTTAAAGAATTTCAGCTCTCCAGGATTTTCTAGACAAAGGCATTTTCAGGTTTCTCACACCATCACTAGCTTATTATAGGAAAAATACCAATAAAATAACAAAAGGACTTTGTTTTCTAGCTTTGACCTGCCAAACAAAACCACCAGAATCTCATGGTAGAAAAAAATAGGTTTTCCAATACTGTTCTCCACAAAATATTTAATTTCAAAGCTAAATCATTCACTATTCAGAGAACACTCTGAATTCTCATTCTTGGTCAGAAACACTAAAGATGATGCTGGAAATAACCACAGAAAGCATGGATGGGATGGTACAGTTGGTTTTTTTCACTCCAGTTTATTTTGAATAACTGAGCAAAGTTAATTTAATCATTTCAGCTTTTGCCTTTCTTTAACCCCATGCTGTTCATACTGTTTTCTTTGTAGTCACTGAACAAGAGACTAAAGTGCCCAAGAAAACCATCATCATGTAAGTGCTGATTATTTATTTTTTTGGTAACACTTGTGTTTTGCCTTGCTGCCTATGCATGACCCAATAACAAGCTTGTGTTCATTGGCCATGCAAGTGTGTTCATTCCCATCCTACCAGACCTCATGGTATTCTGCGCTATGCAAAGTGACTACCTGAAAAAAAAATCTTACTATCCCTCTCAAAAAATAGCAGCACTGGTGTTAGACACAGCCTGGGTCAGCTTTTTTATGATATTACATGTGAAAAAACTCCACTGAACAGTGCCAGAGCTGCACCGAAGTTCAAGAAGGTAGAGTCTGACTCTCGATGTCGAAAAGAAACCAGCTTTGAGAACTGGCTACTTGAAAAAAATGTACAAATTTAACAAATATCCCATAGCTTACAGTGATTTCTGTGTTTCTTAAATTTTTCAGGAAAGCCTTTTACGCTGAAGCAGAAGGAAGATGCCTATTTTTATCCCCTTCTGTTTCTATATTTCTTATATGAAATTTTGTCCTCATAATGACTTGGTCTTTTTGGATACTTTGAGCCTGGTTTATATTGGGTGCCTATAACATATAAAGATTAATTGTAGCAAAAAGCGGTACTTTCTCAGTCATATGTAGACCAGAAGCTCATCAGCCATTAAAATCTTAATCTTCTTGTTTTCAAGTATCATCAACAAATATATAATAAAATTGTTTCATATGCTGGAAGAGGGACATTGCCCTTCTGTGGTAGACCTTCAGAGCACCTCCAAGCTATTCAAATAATGTCCTGGTAGCAGGTGACTATACAATGGATATTTTGGGGCAATGCATTCCCTCGAGAGTTGTGCTATTGCTAAAACCAGTCCTTGACTTGGACGTGATGCTAAAGCTGACTTCATGTACTTTTGTTAGGTGGTGAGGAGGATGTGTGAAATGACAACTGAAATACAGTTAAGAGTTGCTTACCTTTTATCTCCTTTATTATTTTCTATGATGACTGTTTCTTATGATCCATGCACTTAGCCCATCTGGAGCCAGTGGCTTACGAAAAGACATGTGCCCCCTCCTAGCAGTTTCCACCTTGAATAGGCAGAGAGGAGACAGGAGAGGCAAGAAGGGTTCTGCCTTCGACCCTCTGTCTGGCACATCAGTTCAGGCACTAGATGTTTTTACCCTCCAAAGACCAGAAAATGAAGGTGTTTCTGCCTGTAGCATCAAAAATGACTAAGGTTCAGATACAGATAAAAAGAGAAATATTTTTTGATATTGCATTCAGAAACATCCCGAGAAAGTCATGAGCAGGAAAGAATCACTCAGAGCCAGACCATGCCTAAAGCTTAGTAAATCTCATCTACCTACATCTCTGTGCCTGTAAATCACCTGGAGGGATGCCTTTATTTTACATCTCTCCCCAGTCAGCTAACAGTACTCCTTTTCCCTTCATGATTTCAGATCACAAGCAGCAGCATTAATATTAGTTGATTAAATAATATTAAACCTATACAAAATACCATTGTTAAGCTGATTTCTAAATTTCTGACATGTAAATTCCATAGATTATTGCTTTGGACAGTTCAAGAAGTGGTTCCTAAATTAAGGGCTGCAGCCCCAAAGGAGGTTGGGACATTTATGAGTGGGATCTCAGAGGAACAGAAATCCCCCTCCTTTTGCTGGTGGATGGGGTCATGAACTCACTAGAGTGGACCTTAGCTGGAATTGGGATAGTAATGGGGTAAAGTTTGGGAACAACTCTCTAAGGGCACATTCCAGCTCTCCTTAACATGTAGTGAGCTGAGGAACAGAAGCAGCTTTGAAACTACTAGCCAAAACCAACGGATCCTTTAGAGATGGGATTGAACAATGGCTCTATCTGCAAATCCCAGACCCAAAAAAAGCATTTTAACCTTGCAATGTAGAGCAAAGTCTAGCGCAAGCACTCATGGATTCATTCTCATCTTTGTCTAAAATGATTGAGTTGTGTGTAATTCAGACAGGCACCGTGGCCATTACGAAGGCTCTACATAGACCTTAAAGCTCCATAGCAAAACCATAGAAAACTTGAGGGAAGGAGTAAAGCCGTGGAAACGAGCAGTAGAAGAGAGGGTGCTCTGGAAGAAAAGAAATGTCACTGTAGATGAGCCAGTCCTGGATTTCACTGCATCCTCAAAGGGAGAGATTGATGGTGGAAAGAAATCTGCTCTCCATAGGAGGAGGCAGTATCAGTCTCCAAAAATGAGACCAGTAGATGAGAAAGGCTACAAGATAGCCAAGAGGACTGGTCTTCCATGATGGTTAGACAAACGCAACAGGAGAGTCTCTCCTTTCACAAGGACCCCTTCCACCCTTCTCTGCGTCTCAGTGCATGAGCCAGAGCAGAGATGGCTGGAGAGCAGAGCTGGTGACTTTCAGCCGTATGTGGCTGTGACTAGAGGCTGGAGGAGAAAGAGAGAAGTGAAAAAGCTATTGGCTTGATTCATAACCATTCTTCCCCACTTCAGGCCATTGTCTTTACCCTTCAGCTAGTTCTTTTTTTATCCCACTGCTTGGAGGTAGGGACAGAATCTCAACACAGAAACAAAATCAGCTTTGTCTGTCAGTTCCACTGAACTAGCTGCCTCCACTGCAGAGCATTAGCTTCCTTGTGCTTGCAAAGACAACACTGTCTTTACCTTCAAGTTTTTCCATCTAAAATACGCCACTGAAAAAATCTGCAGGAAAAACTGCATGTTAAATATATAAAGTAAGAGCATTGAAGTCTGGGTTTATATGTTCTTGTCCCCAGATTTTAAAGTTATTTGTTCCAATTACCTCTGTAGCTCATTTAAAGTTGAAGTTTGTCCTGGCATGAGAGCAGAAGATTGTTTTGACACAAGCTGTGTATTTATACAGGGATGCTGAGAATCCCCAACTTTTTTCGATATGTCAAAAAAATCTAAAGTAAGGCCACTAGAAACATACCAAGAGATTATAATCATGCATCCCAGATTGGTTTGGTACTCCTATGTCAATTGCTGGTAGTAGCACAGACTGTGTCTGCAATAACGATATTACAAAGAGTAAAAATTAAGTACATTTTGGCATAGATGACTTGTGCGGGGAATGGTCTAACTTTCTTTTCCTGGTCTCCTAATGCCCCTCTAATGTAATTGTTCTGCATGTGAAAATGCAGATCTCTGGTCTCAAAAGAGTCTTTAATAAACAGATTAGAGATAAGTTACATTTATTACAGAAAAGGAAGCTGCTGACCCTACTGTAATAAAAGGCATTTTGCCATTGAGTTCAATGAAACCAGGATTTTAGCCAAGGATACTCAGGAAAAGGTTAAACTCCTTGAGTGTTTAAAATCTTTGGGTGAAACTGCTGTATAGGTCCACAGTAGCATCGTAGGCAGTCAACACAAGGAATAGCAGCAACCAGAAGAACATTTCTTGGGTGGACGTACTCATGTGCTCGTGCACTCGAGGAGGTTAACAGAGTTAGGGTCCACCCGGGGAAAAGGGCACTGAGGTTTTCCCTGGGTCAGAAAGTAAGTGGAGATGGGCATGTGGGTTTGTGTGCTGCGTGTGTACCCCTTCCAAAATTACATGCTTCACCAAAAGCTGGAGTGCTCACAAAACTAACCCCAATGTAGCATCTTGACCAACAATGGCATGTGCTGATGGAGTGTGGCTCCCCAAAAAGTCTCATCTTCCTGCCAACTCCATTCCAACCCTTTCTGTCATCAGAGAGGAAACGATAACCACTGTGGTGAAGAGCCCAAGACAAAGGGGAAGGGTTTCTCCTGCACGTTCTTCTTCAGGTCATTCGCCTTCCCGCTCCCCAAGAGCAGAGCCAACTCCAGAGCCAGTTTACATTTCAAAGATCAGGCAGCCTGTCCACAGACACGAGCAGGAGGCAACACCAAAGTCTGCTGTTCCCGTGCTTTTTGTCACAGAACCAGAGGACAGGCAAGGAGCAGCAGCTAGAGATGTCACAGAGACCAAAGTGGAAGAGAAAAAGCCCAAATGGGTTGAAGTGGAAGAAATAATTGAATTCAAGGTGAAAAAATCACCAAAACCTGCAAAGAAAAGAGGCTCTTCCCCCGCAAAACAAGAAAAAGATGACTCAGGGGTGCTAACATTCACTTTTCCCAGCTCAAGACCTTGGCACTCCCCAGAAGATGATCCAAACACAAACAATTCCAACAATAAATTGGTGGAACAGTCAAAATCTTTGCCTAATGACAGTCTCCCTGAGGCTAATATTCAGACCCTGGTGTATGAGACTGAGCAGGAAGGACCTCAAGTTAGTGATGAAGACAGAAGCTCCCCATGTGGGTCCGAAGAACTAGGAAATAATTCATTTATGGACTGTGGAACTGAAGGAAAGAGCTTCCCAGAAGAAACAAGTGCTCACTATGAGTCAGGCGTCGCTTCCCCGCTGCTTGCCTGCGGTGGTGAGCCTTTGATCTTCAGCTTTGAGACAGCTGCTCCAAACCAGCATGAACTTCTGTTCTCACTAGCGAGCCCAGAGGTTAAGGAAGAAGTAGAGGAATTAGATGTATCTTGGCCTGTTGAAGAGGAGGTACCTGAAATAATCCAAGATGTCCTTCCAGAAGACGATAATGTCATTATAGTTGATGAACCAGAGGAACTACAGACAGATGACATTAGCACCCGGGACCGCAAAATCTTAACCCACAATGGCAAAGTATTAACTTTGGAGGATCTTGAAGATTACGTTCCTGAAGAAGGTGAGACTTACGGGTGTGAAGATCGGAACCATACGGCAGAGAAACCCTGCGAGATCTCTGTACTCCAGACAGAGATTAACGAGCCAACAATCGGGAAGCCAGTGCTGCTGAATCTGGTGAGACCTGTGGTGTCCAAGCCCAGGCAAAGATTTTTCAGCCAGTTTGAGGAGCACGTTCCTGGAGGCATGTTCATGTCAGCATCTAGAGTAACTGGTGTGCAGTCTGTAGGCCCCTCAAACATCTCTTTCCATGTGAGTGACACCTGCATGTCAGTGACACCTGGAGTGCATGCAGCAGCGGCAGCAGCTTCTCCTGGCCCCTCCTTCACAGTGAAACCATCTTTCTGCACCGAAGTCCAGCTCTCAGCAGACAACGGACAGTCAAGCTTTAAAACTGAAGTTTCCACACGAACCCTCAGCTATGGGACTGTTGGCGAGCCTGTTACCTTGCACATCAGCACAGAAGACCTCTCCCAGAGCTGAGCAGACGCCAGCATAATTCTCAACAGAAAAGAAAGCAGAGTTTTAGAAAAAGCTAATCAAAATTGTTGTAGGTGAGGGGAATTGGTGGCAAAGATTACAAGGTAACATGTAGGAAAGAATACCTTTGAGGAAAATATATTTAAGGACGATATGTTGAGCTTTTCCAGTCTTAAAGGGAACATGTCTGTCAGCACGGTTTGTAATTTTAAAAGCTTTGATCGAGGTGAATATATATCATTCCATAGCGGAGCAGTGATGGTAGGTTTAGGAAAAGCCGAATTCTCCTACCTATGACAGAAATATAAATGAATAAGTGCGGTTTTGTCCATGAACTTAAAAATTATTTCAACTGCCAATTTGTGCGTTATGGTGTGGCAAGAAGCTGAAAGTATCTAAGCTTTCCAGCATCCTTCAGCAGCCCAGGATAGGAGGACTGTCGCCAGCTAAAGCGATCTCCTGTCACTGTGTGTGCCTGAAGGTCATGAAGCTTCACGCTGCTTTGACTCTGCTGTACATTTTTGACACCAATTAGCTCTATCAAAATTTCTTCATAAGCCTTTCAACACGCACAGTCTGGTGACATTATTTGAAACCTCTGCCACAGAATGAAACGTACAGAAAATACTGCATTTACTAGGGATGCAAAGGGTTGAAATCCTAATTTGACTAAAGTCAATGGTGGAAGTCCCACTGACTTGAGGAAGCAAGGATTTTGTTGTTCTCTCTTGCTTTAAGTAAAAAAAGACCATCTTTTTTTAAATTACTGGTATTTTCAAGTCCACTTCCTAGTCGTCTAAAGATGTAGGTTTCATTATTCTGCATTCTAGCGTAGTGGATTTGTAAACTGTATCTTTTGAAATATGCTGCACAAAATGACTTCTGCACCTATAATCGAACACTAACACATACAAAGAACCACAAATGTGGTCTTTGTCAATAAATATTACTGGAAGAATATTTGGTCTCCTGTACATGCCAGTGGTGAAACATTACTGTGAACAGATTGACGGATAACGTCACCTATATGTGCTAAGAGGAATTGACCACTGAGCTACAGCAAAGTAGCAGGAGCACAAGGACAGCTTTTTAAAAACAGAAAGAAAGAAAGAAAATAGATCTTTACCATAAATGCCTGGTTGAAAAATACGTATGTTCAAAATGTATTAGGCTGCTCGGAAGCACTGCCAGTTGCAACTGCATTGTATTACTGTAACCACGTACGTTGAGCTGTCTCGTAGAGGTATTGCCTTCTGTTGAGTTTCTCTGAAGCTTTGCAGCAACAGCACTGATTGAGGGGAGGGCTACAGTGTGCTGAGCATCGCCCATTCCCGTTGGCCTCACCAAAAATGGATGTTGCACAGACCTTCAACAGGTTGCTCAGCCCTGGAAAGAAATGAGCTCATAGGCCCAAATATTGGTCCCAGTTGAAGTCAGATGGAGTTTGTCATTGACCTCAGTAGGACCAAGCGCTGGCCCTCTCTATCTGACAGAGGTATGGGGTGAAAAGTCCCAAAACCTTGTCCCAGCTGAGCTGCGTAGAAGTGTT